TGGTGCTGTAGGCTCAGCATTGGTCTGCTAACCACAAGGTTGTGAGATTTCCAACTTTAGTTGAAGATCTGGCAATGTTGTTATTGTTAAGTGCCATGGAGTTGGTTCCAACTCATAGTGAACTTGTATAGGGTTTCCGAGGAGCGGCTGGTGAGTCTGAACCTCCAGTCTGGTGGTTCAAATGGACCTTGAGGTCGAGCACCTATCCTATGGTGTCACGCCAGGACTCCAAGGTCATATTCTCCCAAGGAGGAGTCTGGGTGGAACAGCAGGCTAGGTGTTCTGCTAACTTCAAGGTCAGCAGTTCAAACACACCAGTCACTCCTTGGGAGAAAGACGAGGCTGTCTGCTACTACAAAGTTCGATCGTCTGGGAAACTGTCCTATGGAGCACGGTTGTGCTGTCTTACTGCACTGTGATGAGTCTGAATCAGTGCGACGGCAGTAGTTTTTATTTTTAGGGTTATTCTCCTGTGAAAATCAAAGTTTTGTGTCAAGGTGACGGGGTGGTTTCATGTCAACTTGTCTAGGGCAGGATTTTCAGTTATTTAGCTGGATGAGAGTTAGTATAATTCAGTCCCCTCCAAGAGATCTGCTATACGCAGCCAGTCAACTGCAAGCGCGTTTCCTGGAGGCTGTGGCCTGCAACACTTTTTATGTGACAAGAGGCAACAGGAGAGAGGAGTGAGCAGGGAAGGAGTGATCCACTGCCTCCAAGAGAGAAGAGCTGGGCCTAGAGCATGTCCTTGAACCTGGGCTCCTCACTGTGAACTCCTACAACCAGAGCAAGACTGAGGTCAAGACACATGGAGACCTCCAGAGAACGCTGGGCTTCCAGATGCTGAAAAGAGACAAGGACCTTTCCCCAGAGCTGACAAAGAGAGAAAGCCTTCCCCTTGGGCCAACACTCTGAACTTGGACTTCTTGCCTCCTAAATTGTACGCGAATAAAGTTCTGTTTGTTAAGGGCATACCCTTGTGATATCTTGGTGATAGCAGCACCAGATAACGAAGACATCTCCCAATGCAGCTGCAGGTTGAGTGCAGGAGGGGTTGCTCCCTGGATGGGCCATTTGTCTCCCCATCACACCACACTGCTCATCATCCTCACCATATTATGCCTGGCCCCTTTCACACATTACCATTATTTGCTTGGCTTCAATTGGCCCTTGGGCTTGCAACTATACCCCCAAATGTCCTATAATGGCTCTTCTCAGACAGCTGCCTTCTGCTGGGGAACGTACTAGGGAAAACTGAACTCAGTTTCTCAAGCACGACATGCTCCACGTTCCCTCAGGGCCTTTGCACATGCTGGCCGCTCCTGACGTTCGTCTCTGAAATCACCTCTGTAGAGAAGCCTTCTGTTTCCCTCTGCTATGACTCCTCCTATTTTCCCTCTCATTTAACTCCTCACATGTTCTACACTTTGTCCTTCTTACAGTTGGCAAGTACACCTCTACCTGGGTGATTTAAAAAAATGTGTGGGTGTATTTTTTTTTTCTTCAAGTTTCTGAAAAGGTGCTACATTCACAGAATCTAGAAGTAAATTCCAACAATACAAAGGGCAAGTGTGTGATCTTTCTCCTAATGACTGTCTTTCCCATGGTCGGCTCCTTGGGAAGAAGGACAGGCATTTTTGGTTCACTCCCATATGCCTGGCCCCAGAAATGTGTTGACTAATGAGTGTTGGTAGCAGTAGTGGCAGAGCTGAGAGGTGAGAACATGACCCAGGTTACATCATGAGCTTCCAGAAACAAACCTGTCTTAGATGAAGTACAGTCAGAATGCTCCTTAGCAGCACAGATGGTGATACTTCATCTCACATACTTTGGACATGTTTTCAGGAGGGACAAGTCCCCAGAGAAGGAGATCGTGCTCAGTAACAAAGAGGGTGAATGAAAGAGGAAGACCCTCAAAAAGATGGGTGGACAGTAGCTGCAACAATGAGCTCAAACGCAGTCATGATTGTGAGGAGGGTGCAGGACCAGGCAGTGTTTTGTTCTGTTGTGCGTAGAGTTCCTATGAGTCAGAGCTGACTCGATGACACCTAACAACAGCAGGATTGGTGACAGGTGTTAAGTTGGAAGGGAGGTATTCCTACTGCTAGTGTATAAAATGGCCACAAAGTTGGTGGCCTAAAATGTATCTGATAATCTCAGAGGTCAGAAGGCCTCACTGGGCTAGATTCAAGGTGTTGGGTGGACTGCATTCTTTCTGCAAGCCCTAGGGAAGAATCAGTTCATTGGCCTTTTCTAGCTTCTAGATGCTGCTTGCAGCCCTTGGCCCATGGTCCTTTCCTCCATATCACCCATGCCAGCATCAATGGAACAAGTATTTTCCTCATTGCATCACACTGGCCTCACACTGACCCTAGTCAAATCACCTTGTCTCACTCTTCTTCCTGCTCCAACTTTCAAGGACCCTTGAGATTATACAGTAAAACCTGTAAAAGCCAGACCCCGTGCAAGGTAATAACTGAATCAGAAAAGGAAAACTCAACTATTTCCCACTAAATGAATGATAGGGAGGGCAAACCACTAACTAGGTAGACATATTAACTTGGGTAAAGGGAATGGCAACATACAATAAGGGCAGGTCAGCACAAAATCACCAAGGCAAAGGAAGACACCAGAGGTACACAAGAATCAAAGGTAACAAAGGTAAATACCATTACATCCCTAATCCTGCAATAACAGTACTAAGAGGAATCTACTAATGGATCTGCAGGCAGACACTCAAGCTGAACAGGGGTGGCAAGGCGAATGGAAACACACCCACAAATACATTAAGGTTTGACAAAGGATATTTCTACATGGTGGTGGTGGTGTGCCATGGAGTTGGTTCCGACTCATAGCGACCCTGTATAGGGTTTCCAAGGCTGTAAATCTTTACAGGAACAGAAAGCCTCATCTTTCTCCCATGGAATGGATGGTAGTTTCAAACTGCTGACCTTGAGGTTAGCACTCTGACTCATAACCACTGTGCTACCAGAGCTCCTAGTATTTCTACACTTGTATCTACACATGCTGCAAATATATCCATGAATGTGGTATAGCATACAGGAGTACAGTTGTGAAAACTTCTTAACCATAACAAAACACCTGAGAGAATGAGTCACTGGGCTACAAGGCTCAGAACCATAGTCTAGGAGGACATCAAGTTCTCCATTGGCATCACATTGTCCACAAAGGTACTGGAAGCAGTGACTGAGTCTTTAAAGTTTGTGACCAGTCATCTAAGATGCAGTGATTGGTCTATCTCTATTCAGAGCAAAGAAAAGTGAAGAAAATCAAAGATGTACAGAAACCATTGATACAAAGGACCATGCAAACCTCAGTTCTGCTCCTATGACCCTGAGACCAAAACTAGATGGTGCCTGGCTATAGCTACCAACTGCTCTGAGAGCTTCTGGAAAGAGTGGGAGGGAAATATGGAACAAAACTTAAATTCACAAAAAACTCCAGCCTTACTGGTCAGAAAGATATTGGTAGAATCCCCCAAGACTATGGTCCATAGTCACCCTTCAAGCTGGGAACTGAGCTCAGCCCCATGGCTCAATTTTCAGCCAAACAACAAACAGGTCTCTATACAGTGAACAGTAACACTAGAGAGGTACACACTCCTCAGAACAGTCAGTCATTTGAGATCAAAAGGGCAGCATTTATCCAGGAACAAGGTTCAGAAGGCAGGGAAGTTTAGCAAAGGAAGAGGAATAATGGAAACTGGAAACCGGAAACTCAGGGAAGACGTGAAATCCTTGATGTTACATTGTGAGGATTGCAATCAATGACATGAAACAAAATGCGTATGAATTGTTGAAAAGAAAACGGATTTTCTCTGTAACGTTTCACCCAATGCACAAAAAGTTAAAAAAAAAAAAATAATAATAATAGAGCAAATGAGAGAAAAGAGGGGAGATTTTTGTTTTGTTTTGTTTTGTTTTAACACCCTGTTAAAGGCAGAATATTTGCAAGACTGGGAAAAACAAGGCAATCCCATGAAGCTCCGCCTTCCACAATTTTCACAGATTGCCTGGGTCCCTCCAGATAATCTAGGATAATCACCCTATTTTTAAATCCACTGATTAGCAACCTTAAATCTGTCTGCAGCCTTATCTCCTGGGCCTTTTAAGCGAATACATTATAAGTTCTGGGGATTGGGATATGGGCATCTTTGGGAAGCATTCTTCTGCCCAATTAATCTTCTTATTCCTGAACAGTAAATATCCCTTGAATAAATCTGAACTGAATTTACTCAGACTACATACTGACATCTTCAGAGAAACAATGCCACCTGCCACCAAATATGGCACAAATGTGGTTAGTGGCTTACTAGCTGTAAAATGTTAAAACGATCACTTAATGAAGGCCACAACATCTTCCTCAACAGAAATGGGTCTACCTTCATCAAACTGATAGAGGTGATTCTGGGTACAGAACACTTAGTTCAGGGCCTGTGGTTGTTAGGTACCATCCAGAGGGCTCCAGCTCATAGTTGACCCTGTATAGAATTTTGGAGGAGCAGCTGGTAGATTTGAACCGCCAACCTTGTGGTTCGTAGTGCCACACAGTGAACGCTTCCCATTCCAATCCATTCCTCCTGCTGTTGAGTCGATTCTGACTCATAGCAACTCTATAGGACTGGAAAGCAGGAAAACCCATATAGTGTTCTGAAACTGTCAATCTTGATGGGAGCAGACAGCTTAATTTTTCCCCAGAGGCACAGCTGGGGGGTTAGAACCACCGACCTTGTGGTCAGTAGTCTCAGTAAGTGCTAGTGTTATTTTATTTATTTTTAAAAGGCAAAACAAAACTCCACCAGGTAGTATGGAGAGTTCAGGTGTGCCTGCTTTAGCACAAGAAAAATTTGCTCTCTGTGCCAGGCATAGTTGAAGTGCTTACAGACACACCAACAGACAAAACAAGGATCTCTGCCCTCACACCCTTTTCTTTAACAAGCTGGATCTGGATACAGAAAGCAGAGTAAAAGGATTTCTACTTACGTGCACAGAATGGACTGATCCTCCCGATCTGAGAAGAGAAAGAGAAAAAAGAGAGAGTTAGAATTTGCTGCAGGAAATCTGAGAGTCTGGTCTGCCAATGGCTCCACCCAGGCCTCCCCATTCCATGCTCCTGCACTCTAGCCCCACTAAGGGCTCGAGGGCCCAGCCGAGCTTGTTGCCCCAGAACATGGGGGCAAGCCTAAATTCAAGAGTGTGGCAGGCCCACCACCAACCCACAAACTCCCAAAGCAGTCCCAGAAAGATGCTGACATGTGACTTGTTCAACATCACCGCATGTGAGCTCTGATGGATCCCAGAGACCCACTCTGCCCAGACAAGACTGCAGACTTTGAATCCAGATAGACTCGGTCCCACCTGCCCCCTTCGCAGCCCTGTGGCCTTGAGCAAATATTCTTAACCACTCCATGCCTCCTTCCTTCATGTTTAATAGGATACATGCACAGGTTTTGGGTTTTGACAATCTAGTGTCCAGTTCTCTTCTTAGAGAAGACCATCCTGTGTCTTTTCTCACCCCTGCCTTCAAGTTTTGGTGGGGCTACCCAACAAGTTCCCTGAGAACATGGTCCAGGTTATAGCCTTCAGAGCCCATGACCTAAAGCTCTGCGTCTCAATCCCACTGATACAAGGATGGGGACACAGAGCAGGTGGACAGAGGCCCAAGGAGGCCATGACTGCCTGTCTCCTGAGCTGGCTCTGTCATTGTCCAAGCCTGGATTGCCATCAGCCTGTCCCTTCTATGAGCTGCCTGATATCAAAGCCAGTTGTAACTGATGGTGTCCCAAGTGTTTTAGAGTGGAACGGGGCTCCTCTTCCCAGGTAGTTGGAAGACAACTACCTAGCCAATTGACAGGGTTTCCAATGGCTGATTTGTCATCAGGCTTCTCTGGGAGAACTCAAACCACCAAGATTTCAGCTAGTGGCCAACTGCATTAATAATTGCCAACTCCTGCTACCACACTATTGTTGTTAGGTGCTGCCAAGTCAGTTCCAACCCCCAGTGACCCATTGCCCATTCCTGTGTCAACCTCCTAGGAGTGGGTACCTCTGAACCTATTGTTGTGACCACGGAGTCGGTCCCTCTCATTGCGGGGCTTCCTCATCTTTGCTGACGCTCTCCTTTACCCATCCCCATAGATTTAACTCACACTCATACTTAGGACTCTTCCATAAACATCTTTTCTGTAAAAGATGACAGAGTAAGTCTCAGTTGCTTGCCGTGAGAAAACTCTGGCAGATACTGAGGGCACTGTCAGACTTAAGCACACAGCATTGGTCACCTTCTCCTCTCAAAGTGGCCTCTGAGGGCAGTGCCTGATTCCAGAGTCCAGTTCCTACCCAAGATGGGGACTCTTACCAACAGCTTCAATTCACCATACCCGAGAAGCAACTTCATATCCACCGATGGCAATACCAAAGCTGTGTTTCTTAACCCCACCCCCTAATGTTGTTGTTGTTGTTAAGTGCCGTTGAGTCAGTTCTGACTCATAGCGACTCTGTATAGAGTTTCCGAGGGTGTAAATCTTTACAGGAGTAGAAAGCCTCATCTTTCTTCCACGGAGCGGCTGGTAGTTTCGAACCACTGACCTTAAGGTTCGCAGCCCGAATCGTAACCACTATGCTACCAGAGCTCCTTCCACCCCCTAATAGCTCTGTCCAACTATTGCAAGTCTCCATTGTTCATGAGCCTTACATCATCAGAGATCTCCCAAGGTTCTCTGTATCCTCCACCAAATCCCTTCTCAGAGTGAGTTCCCTAACACACTGAGCTACCCAATCATGCCCTCCTCAATAAACTTCCATCTGAGCAGTTTCTTAACTCTTGAGAGTTAAACATAAATTGATTGCATGGCCCAGTGGTTCCACTCATAGGACTCTGCCCGATAGAGCTGAAAACATAGTATGTCTCTGCAAAAATTCTACATGAACATCCACTGTAACATTATTTATAATAGCCAAGAAGTGGAAGCAATCTAAATGACACCCATTCACTGAGATGGAAGAACAAACTGTGTACTCTCCCTATAGGGGAGTATCATTTGACAGGAAGAAGAAATGGCATTCTAAATACATGCCACAATGTGGATGAACCTCAACAATCTTATGCAAAGTAGAGGAAAAAAAGCAGACACAAAAGACCATGTGTCATATGATGCCCAAACAGGCAAAGCCATAGAGACAGAAAGTAGGTGAGTAGTTTCCAGAGGCTAGGGGTGATAAGACGGCAGAACTTACAAATGGGTGTGATGGATCATTTTGGGGACTCTAAGACTGGAGTCCTGGTGTGGCACTGTGGGCTAATGCATCAGACTGCAAAGCCGTTTGAACTGCCAGGTTGGTGGTTCAAACTCACCAGCTTCTCCTTGGAAACCCTATACAGGGTGGTTATGGGTCAGAATTGACTCGACAGCACGTAACAACAAGAAGACTGGATTGTCATCACTCATCTGTCAGTTTGTCCTACTGTGGTGGCTTGTGTGTTGCTGCCATACCGGAAGCGATGCCACTGGACTTTTACATCCCAGCAGGGTCACCCGTACCAGAAGCGATGCCACTGGACTTTCACATCCCAGCAGGGTCACCCATGTGAACAGGTTTCAGCAGAGCTTCCAGACTAAGACAGACTAAAAAGGAGAGGCTGACCACTTCTGAATGGTTAGCCACTGAAAGCCTTATGAATAGCAGCGGAACACTGATACAGTGCCAGAAGATGAACATCTCCAGTTGGAAGGCCCTCAAAATATGACTGGGAAGAGATGCCTTTCAGAGTAGAGTTGACCTTCATGATGTGAATGAGTAAAGCTTTTAGGGACCTTCATTTGCTGATGGGGCACAAGTCAAAATTAGAAGAAACAGTGGCAAACATTCATTAATAATTGGAAGATGGAATGTAGGTTCTATGAATCTAGGAAAATTAGAAGTCATTTAAAAATGACATGGAACACATAAGATGGATATCCTAGGCATCAGTGAGCTGAAAGGCACTGGTATTGGCCATTTTGAAGTGGACAATCACATGGTTTATTATGCCAAACAAATAACAAACTGAAGAGGAACAGTGTCACATTCATGGTCAAAAAGAACATTTCAAGATCTACCCTGAAGTACAAGGCTGCCTGTGATAGGATAATATCCATGCACCAACAAGAAAGACTGATTAATACCACTGTTATTCAAATTTATGCACCAACCACTAAAGCCAGTGAGGATGAAATTGAAGAATTCTACCAACCTCTTCAGTATGAAATTGATCAAACATACAATTAAGATGCATTGATAATTACTGGTGATTGGAATGCAAAACTTAAAACAAAGAGGAAGGATCAGTAGTTGGAAAATATAGCCCTGGTGATAGAAACGATGCTGGATACAATTTTGCAAGACCAACAATTTATTCATTGCAAATACCTTCTTTCAGCATCATCCATGTGGCCCTCACCAGATGGAATACATAGAAATCAAACTGATTATATCTGAGGGAAGAAATAATGGAAAAGCTTAATTATCATCAGCCAAAACAAGGCTAGAAGCCAACTGTGAAAAGACCATCAATTGCTCAATGACTAAAGCTGAAGAAAATTAAAACAAGTCTATGAGAGTCAAAATATGACCTTGAAAATATCCCACCTGAATCTAGAGACCATCTCAAGAACAGATGTGATGCATTAGATCACATCTGTTGTGATGCATGACCAAAGACCAGAAGAGTTGTGGAATGACATTTAAAACATCATACATGAAGCAAGCAAAAGGTCATTAAAAAGGTAGGGAAGAAAGAAAAGACCAAAATGGTTGTCAGAAGAGACTCTGAAACCTGTTCTTGAACATAGAGAAGCTCAAGAAACTGGAAGAACTTAAGAAGTAAAAGAGCAAGCGAAACACAAAATGTCAGAAGGCAGCTCTAGAAGACAAAGTCAAATATTATAATGAAATGTGTAAAGACCTGGAGTTAGAAAACCAAAAGGGAAAAACACACACAGCATTTCTCAAGATGAAAGAACTGAAGAAAAAATCAGTCCTCAGCTTGCAATAGTGAAGGGTTCTGTGGGCAAAAGGAATCCTGGTGTGGTGCTGGGGTGGGTAATGTGCTCAACTGCAAGGTCGGTTTGAACCAAGGTTGGCAGTTCAAGCTCACCAGCTGCTCCTCATATAAGGTCACTATGAGTCGGAACCAACTCGACGGCACTTAACAACAATATAGGCAAAATACTGAATGATGCAGAAAACATCAAAAGAAGATGGAAGGAATACACAGTCAAAAAGAACTGGTCAATACTCAACCATTTCGGGAGGTAGTATATGATCAAAAACCAATGATACTGAAGGAAGAAGATCAAACTGCACTGAAGGATTGGTGAAAACAAGGCTCCAGGAACTGACGGAATACACATTAAACTTCTGGAACACACTGCTGCAGCACTGAAGGCGCTCACTTGTCTGTGTCAAGAAATCTGGAAGACAACTATCTGGCCAACTGACGGGGAAAGCTCCATATTTGTGTCCATTCCAAAGAAAGGTGACCCAACAAAATGTGGAAATCATAAAGCAATATAATTAACATCATATGTTAAGTCAACTTTTGCTGAAGATAATTCAAACAGGATTGTAGCAGTATATAGACAGGGAGCTGTCAGAAATTCAAGCCATATTCTGAAGAGGAAATGGAACAAGGACTATCACTGCTGACATGAGATGCATCTTGGTTGAAAGCAGAGAACACCAGCAAACTGTTTACTTGTTCTTGCTTTTGACTGTGTGGCTCATGACAAGATATGGATAACATTACACAGTTGGTCCATGCTGGTCTCTCCAAGCAGCGTCACTCTCAACACCTTCCTCAATCCCCCTGGATGCAAGACCCCTTAGGACCCATGTTCCATTCCTGTGTGCTGCCAAGTACTTGGGAAATCAGAAAGAGCCCAGAAATGCTTCAAAACACAAGTTGGTCACCAAAGTAGTTATGTGACCTTGGGTTACTGTCATGGATTGAACTGTGCCCCACCCCACCCC